TGTGTGAATGTCAACTTGCACCAGTCATATAATCTCTCTGAGCCTCAGTTTTCCCATATGTAAAATGAGGACAGTAAGTCTGTCTTGCAGGGGTGTTGAGCAGATTAAAAGTAGTGCATGCAAACTACTTAATATGGATTTAACACAGGTGTTCAAAAAAGGTAGTTATTGAAAAGAAAAACCTGATTCTGCATTGGAAGCACTTCTCAAGAGTCCCTTCTGAAGGGTGACTTCACAGGCTGGACCTAAGAGAGGTAATACATGGAAAGTACTTAAGGCAGTGGCTGATTTATATCGTTAGGTCTGAGTAAAAATTACCTATCGTTATTTTATTATTTTGAGCTCCTTAATGATAGGGTTCATCTTCATTGTGCCTTTGAAACCCGAGAGCCTAAAGTTTTTTTTTTCTTTCATAGAAAAGAAACGTGAATATTCATCAATTCTTTCTGGGTGTCAGGGGTGTGCTGACTTCAAACAAGTGTATTTTAAACTGATGGACAGTTGCTTTAAATTGTAAATTGGGAAGAGTTTGCCTTCCCCAACTTAACTTTCTTCACACAGCAACTTAACACTCATTGGCCTGTAACTAATTATTTAATCCAATTTAGGAGGCATTCTTGAGCCCAGTAATAATGTTACTTAATGACACGACTATAAATCAGGTGCTAGCTTGTGGCTGCTGATATTGAAATGCTGGTAAATAGCTAATTTCCGCAGCAACTCTGTTACCGGTTTAGGCTCGACCCAGGTCATTTTTGATTGGCTCCCGCGATGTGAATGGTCTCGGCCTGAGCCAATATGGCCAATACGTGGTCAATATGGCTCCACCATTGGCTTTCCGGGAAGCCGGCAGACACGTGGCCACCGCAGGCAGGGCAGTAATACGTGGGAGGACCTAGTTTCTCTTATCGCGAGAGGGCGCCCGCGGTTCCTCTGTGCTGAACTCTCATTTCCCATAAAGCCTCCAAGTGACCAATCAACTGGCTGTCTCTATACCGCTTTCAAAGTCGGCGGGCCCTTTCGCCAATAGTAAGGCAAATGCCGCCCTCAGTTTGAAGATTGACGGAAGGTTTCACCAACCATCTCAAAGATGCCTGCTATCTCCGCCTCTCTCGCACGGGATTGACGATCCGTCCGGCCAATAGCAGACGCCCAGTCGGCGGGTGGATGAACGCGGCCTTCTGTAATGGCGGAGCGTGGCGGGGACGGGGGGGACGGTGAGCGATTCAACCCGGGGGAGCTCAGGTGAGGGGCACTGTCCTTTCTTACCTGTCGGCACGCCGGAGTCCCTGGGGCTAGGCCTGCCGCGGGCAGGTCCCGGGGCGGAGCGAGGGCGCAGGGGCCGCGGCGGCTCGGGGCGCGGGCCACATGGGCTGGGCCAGGGGAAGGTGCCTTGAATGAGAAAGACGGGCCGGGCCGGGCCGCGGCCTCCCGCGCGCCTTCGGGGCGCCGCCTGCGGTTCCCGCGGGGCCGCAGCTCCGTCGCGGCCTGCGGCTCGGGGCCGGGCGCGGTCACCCTCGGCCCCCCCCCCCACCCGCCCCGGGCGCGGCCCTGGGGTCTCCCGAGTGCCTTGTTCCCTTTCCCCACGTCGCTTGCTTTTCACTTTGGCGGCTTCCCGCCCTTCCTGTTCGCGTTTGCGGGCAGGGCAGGGGCAGCCGCCGCCTGTCCGGTGCCCCCGCGCCCCGTGAAGCCCCCGCGCAGGGCCGCCCCGTGGGCCCTCCCGCCCGCCGCTCGGGGTGGCCGCCTTCCGCCTCCGCGGGCCGCAGACCGGGCCCGGCCGCCGTTAAGTCACTGCCCACCGCCCAGGCGAGCCAGCCGATCCTCGCAGAGATGGAGGAAGCAGAGCCGGGCCGGGCCGGGCTGGGGAACCCCGGACCCCGGCGGCAGGCCCCGGAGCCTGGGGCTCGCCCGCCAGCCCGTTCGCCCGCGCCCTCCTTTGCCCTCAAGAGCGCAGTGACCGACCTTTCCCTGGTGTCCCGGTGTCGGTGGCGTTTGTAATTAAGGTTTGATGAAGTGGAAGTGTCTTGGAAAAACCTTCAGTCAGTGTTTTTTTGAGGACAAATAGGTACCAAGCTTTACAGTCGGTACTTTTTTTTTTTTTTTCTGGATGGGGAACATGCCATTTCAGATGTTCAGCGCCTGTTCTGAATTGTGCCATTGTCAGCATTTGAAAATGAAAAAAGAGCGTAGGTTATGACGATTCTAGTATTGTCTAGAGCTCAGGACGATATCGTGTAACGAAATGAGAGTTTCTGTTCAAGTTTTAAGGGGAAAAAAGGACTTTTAGATTCTGAATTGTCACACACACGCACAAATCCATACTTTGGCAGGAATAAAATCTTGTTTCATTTCAGAGATGGATCTCAAATCCTTTAAACTCCAGAAGTACACTTAAGCGATGAGTTCGTGATCAGAGTGTGTTGTCAGAGTTGTTGGGTGTTAAGTGATGGCAGGCTTATTCCCGATTTTGATTTCAAGAGAAGGTTACTTAGTCCATATGGATTCATTTGGGAACATTACTTTGCATTTAGAAAGTATCTTTCTCCAGCTTTACATGAGTAACATTTTAGACTTCATTAAAAGTAGTCTAGACTTGGTTACAAATTGAATAGTGTTTTAAATTAACTGTTATGTTGGAAATGTTTTGTACCTTAGCCTCTTGGTTGCAAGTTGCTTTCAGAGCATATTGTACAGACCTTTGTTTTAGTAGAGAAATTAGCTGTTTATGTGGTCTCTTTGATGGCAGAAGTTGGGGCTTAGTTTCTGTATTTGTATCCTTACTGTATCTCATGGTGTGACTGTCATAGGGCCTGGAAAATAAGGTGTTTGGTGGATATATGGTAAATAAACGAATGGAGGAGATTTAGAGATGGTTTAAATAGCGGACCCACATTTATTGAGAGTGTGCTATGTCATAGTCACTGGACCTACGTTGTGGCAGTAGAGCCTTGAACCAGAAAAACTTTTGTCTTCAAGGGGCCTACATGCTAATTAAGATTGATCTAAATTCTAAACTAAAGTAACCACAGCAAATGAAGAGCTCAGCCTGCAAGTATGAGACATTTACACAGGTCACTGAGTAGTTGGGAGATTCTGGATTAAAACCCGAGTCTCCTCATTGAACAGTCTGTTCCCTAATTTGCTGCCCGTATTAGCAGTAACAGCTTTCCATTTTTGCCCCTCTTACTAAAGTATTTGTGGTCCTGTCTTCACCACTGGGGGGAGGTTGCATGTCTGGATAGAGTACGTTTAAAGAAATGCATTTGTTCTTGTAAAAAAAATTTTGTGTTTCTGTTCACACCAAGTGGTCATCTGTTTTCCGATAAAGGTGAAAGTGGTAAAAATGAAAAAATCTACAATAAACAATTTATTCAGAGATCCAAATGTCATATATCTGTTTATTGTTGAGACCCATTAACGTAACTTATAGAGTCATATTTGCATAGATCTTTAGGGCTTTTGTTTACCTATTAATGCTTTCTGACTTAAGAAAAGGTACTTGCAGCCTAAATTATGTGAACTGTAAAATGGGAGTAAGAATAAGAATATGCTTGTGTTACCACTGATTAGCTGCCTTAAACAGGTTATTTTTCTGTGCCATAGTTTCCTCTGTAAAACAGGTACCAAACTTACCTTTTCCAGTTGTTGTGACGATTAATAAGAGTTTGTACAAATAATTTCCATATAACTGCCTGCTGTGTGGGAAGTACCCAGTGTTCACTATCATTATTAACAGTAATATTTGAACACCTGCCATCCTGGGCACTGGGATGCAGCAATATACTGAGGGAAACTTACATTAGTGGGTCGAGAGAGTAGAAGAGAAAAGAAAAAGGTGAGATATTTCTTCACAGCATTTATTATAATTGAAAACTCAAATTGGGTAGTGAGCCAGCGAGGGGCTGGGAGAGGCTAGGGGTGGGTAAGCAGTTTGAGGTGACGCTTGAGCTGAGGCTGGATAAGGAGAAGGAGCCAGTTATGTAAAGATTTAAGGAAAAGCATGCCAGGCAGAGGTAACAGCAAGGGTAGAAGCTTCAAGGTAATGAACTTGAAGTATTTGATCAAAAAGAAGACTTGAGTCTCTAGAGAGGTCGCCAAGGGCTAGGTCATAGAGAGCCTGATCGTCATGGTAGTAATAGCTGACACTGGCACTGATGCCACACCGACAGTGATGGTGACTGATACTTAGAGAGCACGTACTCACCAGCTCACTGAGTCCTCACTGCAGGTCCTGGTAAGGCTGTTGTGATGGAGCACTAAAGAGCTCAGCATATGTGACATACAAATCTGGCGTCAGAAAATGGCAGCTTGAAGCTTTTGACAAAAGAAATTAGGTGAACTTTGTCACTATTTTAGTGGCAGACTTGAAAGCCATCTAGTCAAAGTGCTTTTTCTGGCGGAGCAGTGTACTAGGTTTGTGGGGAAGTGAAAGTAATGATCGTAAAAGTAGTTTATTCTTTATACAGACTATCCTAAATGTTTCATGGGGATTATTTCCTTGAATAGAGATAGAGAGGTTTTATTTCTATTCCCCTTCTCATTTACATCTGAGTGTACTCTGGCTTGGAAAGTTTGTAACTAGTCTCCCGCAAAAGGCAGAGAGAGACCTGATTTGCCTTTTGTGATTCTAGAGCCTTAAGGCTTAACTTCAAGCTATAAAGTTCCAAAGAAAGAGAAACTTCGAAAAGGGAAATGCAGATGATTAAGGAAGGAAATGAAAGATTAAGGTATATTACTGACTGAAGGGTGAAACAGAGTATCTTTCCTTGGTGGTTAACTTTTTTTTCTGCCCTAAAGGTTGACATTCTTTTAGTAAGAGTGGCCATCTGTCTTTTGGGAATGCATGTAATTTGAAAAAGACTGATAATTCTGATAGAATCCATGCTTTCTTTGCAGTCACTATTTTTAACTCATACTTTCTAACTTTGAGTGCAGGATGATTTGCAAGATTTGGTTAAATATACTTGGTATAGTAGTTCTTAGATGTGTTTACAATCCTAGTGTTCCCAAAGAAGGCATATTGATTCTTCTTTAGGATTTTTTTGTGTGTGTCAGAATTGAGAAAGTTAAAAGGGTAATCTTAACCAGAGGGTTGAAAAAGGTAGGAAAGTTGAAAAAGCCTGGTGAGAGTGTAAGAATGATTATCTTCAAATATACTAAATGAATTGTTAGCCTTCTCTTTAGCATAGAAATGTAAATTTCATGGATAATTGAGAGATTTATAGTAGCTACTGGCAAGTCTGTGATAGGTGCTAAGTTAACTGATATGGTAAATTACAGTAAAAAAATTTCTGTAAGATTGCACATGTCCTACTTGTAAGGTAGCTTAGGTCTAGTATCATCTAGGCATTCACTAGTTCATTCAACAAGTATTTATTGAGCCCTACAATGTGCAGAACTAACTATGTGCTGGAGATGCAAGGGTGAGCAGGACGGACAGAATTCCTACTCAGAAGGGGCTCGCATAGACAGCATGGTGTGTTTAAGAACCATCTGCCTGTGTTTGGATCCTGGTTTGACCACTGGAGCAGCTGTGTGGCCTTGGGCAAGTCATTGAACAACATCTGTGTACCTTAATGTCCTCGCATGTAAATTGAGTTTGATAACAGTATCCATCTCATGGGTGATTATGATGATCACATGACTCAAGCTAAGAATGCTACCTGGCACATAGTAAGCACTTCTAAGAGTTACTAATTTTTAAAACACTTCTGTGGTAAGGGGTAGTTAATATCATCTTGTGTAATACCTACCACTTACCTGCTTAAGTGCCATGGAGAAAATAAACTCGGGTGTTTAGCTAGAGATTGAAGCGTGGGGTGGGGTGGAGCGTAGAGAAAGGCATTCATTGCCTTTAGTTCGAGAATACTCCTGACCTCTCTTAAGCTGCTACTCCCCGGGCCCCCATAAAAACTTTGTATTTGAAAGTAATTTCAGACTTACACAGTCGCAAAAATAAAGATAATACACTTAGTGTTAATATTTTACCTCTTCTGCTTTATTTGCACGCATGCATGCTGTTGCTATGAACGATTTGAGGGTAAGATACATATACCACCATGGCCCTTTACCCCCAAATGCTTAAGTGTGTATATTCTAAGAATAGAGATATTCTTTTACTTATACAGCACAGTTATCAACCTCATAAATTTACGATACAATACTCGATTGTCCATAGTGCAGTGTTGTCCATGAATCCAATCATGTCTTTTATAGCATTTCTTCTTTCTAGTACAGGATCCAGTCTGCAGTTGGCTGTTTGGCCTCCTTCGACCCAGAACGTGTGCGAGGCCTTCCTTTGTCTTTCACGCACAGCGCCGACGTTTCTGAGGAATACAATCCCTGCTGCCCCCCTTTTTAGTAGAACGTTTCTCAGCATTCCTCATCTGTGTTTGTCTAATACAGACTTTCTCATTATTGGATCGAAGTTACACATTCTTACTTGGAATAAGTGATACTGTGTCCCTTTCGGTCACAGGATACCCACCTATCCTAAAATTTTTAGATGATAGTAATTTTGGTCACCTGCTCAAGGTATTGCCCAGGCTCTCCATTATATAGTTAGTGTGTTTTGCATCCTCCCTTGCAGCTGTGAACAGCCTGTGGGGAGATATTTCGTTATCATCTAAACATCCATCTCATCCAGATCTCCTCCTAGATTTGATGTTTGTTGATCATCCATCCTCACTGATGCATTTTTTACTGTGATAATTGCAAAAGGACGGTTTTCCAACTCCACTTAACTCGTAAGGGCATTGATGGAATTAGATGTAATCAGTAGTCACATTTTTGCAATTTTGAGAAAGAAAAAATTATTCATTGCTTTCCCACACAGGATGGCTCAACAGCAGGCCTTGAGGTTCCGAGGCCCAGCTCCCCCGCCAAACGCAGTGATGCGAGGCCCACCACCTCTCATGCGACCTCCCCCCCCCTTTGGCATGATGCGAGGCCCTCCTCCGCCACCCCGTCCCCCCTTCGCACGTCCTCCTTTTGATCCTAATATGCCGCCAATGCCTCCTCCAGGGGGGATTCCTCCACCTATGGGCCCTCCACACCTCCAGGTAAGCGGGTTGCTGTTTCTTTGTTGGTATCAATATCATATATGAGTTTTGCGTAAAAAGCTTGTGTTCTTAGTTTGAGTTTATAGGAAAATGAGAGCTAAAGGGAACATCCATGTATTTACATGTTTCCTCAAAAGCAGTGGTAACAGTAATTACTATAGACATTCAGAATTTTGATGGTGATAGAAAAAATGATATCTAAGATAGAATCTAGAAAATGACAAACATTTTATAAGCATGATATTTATTTTTCTCTCTGGTGAAAAAAGTAATAGGGTTATCTTACTATTTTAGAATTATTGTGGGATTTCTTAAAAGTACTTTCTTTTCCTGGAATTTACCCCGGGGCATATATCACTCCCTAGAGTATATAGACTCAGCTATTGTCTGAAATGAGGTCATTAAGGTATCAACTCTCAATTGTGTACTTTTGAGGTTATGTTCTTTTTGTTTGAGTATGTATCTGTATTTTCTTAGTTTATCCAGCCTGTACATTTCTGAAACCAAATAAATACAGTAATAACCATTTGCTCTCCATTAGCTTAGATAATCAAGAGTTAATTTACTAAAAATAGAGAAAAATAATGGTACTATTCAAGTGATGTTAACTCTGTTTAAATAGTGCTATATTTATGGAAGAGACACAAGGTTTTAATACTTTTCTTAATAATTTTGTATTGCCTTCCTAATAATGAGTAGTCCCTCCCCCCTTAAACAAATTATTTAATGGTTTTATATTTTCTTTAAGAATAGAATAAGGAATAGCTTTTAGACCTTCTTACTCTGGTATAACTTGTTATAAGTCAATTTATTCTAATTTGTGTCTTTTAGAGTTAAACTTATTGGAGAATATTATACAATGTAATGGGCTAATGAAACACTCTAGTGGAAATATGTCAGGTGTTGTAATGGGATACATTCGAAATGTTACATGTTTCCCTTTGTTATGATGGATAATTGTGTTCTTTTACTTTAAATCCAAGTGATTTCCAGCTAATGGTGTCTAAGATATATTTGGGGTGGATATTTTATAGAACATGGGTGTGTGTGCTGAAGCTTGAAAGACACTAAAGTGAATCCAAAAAAACTGGAAATCCAAGAAAACATTTTTAGGGAAATGAAATACAGTTTTACATTATTAGCATAATGTAAATTTCATTATCCAGAGTAAGGGACTATAAATATTTGAATTTTAGTGTTACTTGGATTGTAGAGGCAATCATTTAAAAATAACCCCTGTTAAAATTTGTTTTACTTTTCTGCTTTAGTAAGTAAGATACGGCAGTTACAGGTAAATTGTTTGATTCAGGATCTTGTGTTGGGTCAGCAGTCATTGAAGAATGGCAGTAAAGGAAATTACCAGAGGTAGGATTGAATCAGTTAATGGCTCCAGGAAATTTTTTTTTAAAAGTAACATATACCATTTAAATTCTTATTTTCCACTAAAAGTAAAGTGGGTAATTATTTTACCATAATTGTTTTACCATGTCTTTTACACTTACTGATGATGCTCATGTCTTTGATGAGCTACATTATTATTTTTACTGTTTGAAAAATAGGAAATGATTATTTTCCTAGCTAACATATATATATTTTTTATTGTAAGAAAATAGAATAAAGGGTTAGTTAGGTATATCTGACTATTTTTTAGTTACCGCTGTGTTATTTGTAAAATAGCACTTCCCTTATGGTTGGTTCTTGCTGTAGGTGTGCTCTGGAGGCATTGATGTGCTTGGTTTAAACAAGATGTAACATTACTTCTTTTCTTTTGAGAGTAGTCCAGTGTCCAGTGTATGAAATATGCAGTTAAAGTATGAAAACAAAATTCCCCATAATGCTTTAACCCAGACATGAATACTGTTAGTATTTTGATATATTTCTTTCTAGTCTGCTTAGTAATCATTTTTGTTACAGAGAAACTGCTTACACAACCTAGATGAATATAATTTATTCAACTATAAAATCAGTTTCTCTTATAGTGCTTTACTTTCGGGTAGAATTTAGTAATAGTTTGAAAGAAGAAAGATAATCGCAAGTGACCATTACTGTTCTTGTGCATTAACAGAGGCCACCTTTCATGCCCCCGCCCATGGGAGCCATGCCTCCTCCTCCAGGCATGATGTTTCCCCCAGGAATGCCGCCTGTGACTGCTCCTGGTACTCCAGCACTGCCTCCTACTGAGGAGATATGGGTTGAAAATAAAACTCCAGATGGGAAGGTAAATTATAAAATTTGTTTACAAAATATTTTTATATCCTTGGTGACAGAGGAATAAAACTTAAAAATTCTGGCACATTGAGATGCATGACAATATCCTTCCTAATTAAGAATGAGCCTTGAATGAGCATGGGGTGGGCGGTGGTCTCCAGGACAGGCTCACTGGATTGGACTTTTTGCACAAACATAAAGTTGCCTAGAGTGCTTCCATACGTTTACTTGTGATTTTGAAGGCTTGTATTTTCAATGTGTCCTGGGTCCCCTAAACAAATCTCTGGTTTAGTGTTTGCCAGGAGGACCCACAGGACTCAGCAAATAGTTGTACTCACTACTGAGTGAGACTAATTATAGTGAAAGATACAAAGCAAAACCAGCAAAGAGAAAAGGGTGAGTGGGTCGAAGTCTGGAAGAAACCAAGCACAAGCTTCCAGGAGTCCTCTAAGTGGAGTCATACAGAAAATGTTTAATTCCTCTGTGGTGGATTGTGACAATATGTGTGAGACATTGTATGCCAGGGAAACTAGCCTGAGCTGAGGAGTTGAGGGTTTTCAGGGGATGGTGGTAACCCTCCTGAAATCCAAGTTCTCCTGCCAGCCAAGGGCCAACTTCGCAAGCAAGCTTTCTAAGGACTTTTCCTTAGAAAATCCTTAGATTTCAGGAGGGTCACCACCAAAATGATCCATACTGTATCAACTTTCTGCACAGTATATAATCTTGGTTTTCCTTTTTCTGTGCATGTTACAAATATAGTGTGCTTTTTATAAAATTGGGGGAAGGGGAGAAAGGAAGTAAAAATTATCAATAGTCCTATAATATATGAACAACCAGTTTTTTTTAAGACAAAATAATAGTTGTGTTATGTTTTTTAGTCGTAGTTGACAGAGTTTATGATACCAATGATCTTGCTTCCTCTGCAGGTTTATTATTATAATGCTCGGACACGTGAATCTGCGTGGACCAAGCCAGATGGAGTTAAGGTTATTCAGCAGTCAGAACTGACACCAATGCTTGCAGCCCAGGCACAGGTTCAGGCGCAGGCCCAGGCTCAGGCGCAGGCCCAGGCCCAGGCCCAGGCCCAGGCGCAGGCGCAGGCCCAGGCCCAGGCCCAGGCGCAGGCACAGGCCCAGGCCCAGGCCCAGGCCCAGGCGCAGGCGCAGGCGCAAGTGCAAGCACAAGCAGTGGGGGCGTCCACCCCCACGACCAGTAGCCCAGCGCCTGCAGTGTCCACGTCAGCAGCATCATCCACCCCATCTTCAACCACTTCGACCACGACAACTGCCTCCTCGGTTGCGCAGACAGTATCGAGTGAGTACCAGCCAGCATGTGTTTTCACTTAGGGGCTAGAGGAATGAACAGGTAGGGACTGTATTCCAAAATGATCCTAGTGTTTCAGGTGTTATCCTTGGTGTTATTTAAAATACTTTTGATGCTAAGACCTTGAGTTAAAGAAGAACAGAAATTATACATTAATAGAAGAAATTATTTGCCCTGTTTTAATTCATGAAGCTAAACTGGGGAAGTGCAGAGTCACTGTTCACCTTGGCCAACAGTAATGCCGGGTGCTGTGGGGTTTGCAAAGTGACTGTGAGTCTTGGCCTCTGCCTTACATTGCTGCCTGTTCTTCTGATTGAGGAGGCAGAATAATGCACATGAAACAATTAAGAGAATAATGTGCAGAATTATGCAGTGGAAATAGAAGATGTACAAATTGGAGAAAACAGACAAGTGGGTGGATGACACGGTTATTGAGGTTGGTCATGAAGGATGTGTGGTAGTATTTAAGTAGGTGCCAAAGTAAGGAGACGTCTTTCAGGTAGCTGGGAATAGCGTGAACAAGGGTCAGGAAAGGAGGATACGTGCAGTTCACGGGATCGTTAGGGAACTTCTGAAGTGGGAGGATTTATATGGGTTAATAGATTGGATAAGAATGAAACCAGGTCATGAAGAATTTCAAGAGCCAGGCAAATGGGTGAGGAAGGCGGGCTCGGGCCTTGTATGAACGGAGTGTTCTGGGAGATATTTCACGTGATTGTGTTTTGGGTAGCATTGAAATCAGGGAGACGCAATAGGAACTTTTCAATGATCTTGTTTAGATGTGAATATATCCTAGAATGGGATGCAGATGGGTGACATGATGGGGGGAGAGAGAAGCAGTCAGAAGGGTAAGAGAATTATCAGGTATGAAGCCATTGAGGCCCAAAGGTTAGATCCTTTCAAAAAGATGATAGGCAATTAATAGTTTTTAGATTGAGAGAAGAATCTGTTAATTCACTTAAAATAATGTCATTAATATTTATACTACTTCTTTGTTTTTGTATGTTGCTCCTTTTCAGGCTGAGATTAAGCCCAGAAATAAATAATTTTTATTGATTTGATTGTAATGAAACATAGTTATTCCTACAGGGTGATTATAAATTGGATTATTTTGCTACCTGGATAATAGATGAAAATAAGAAAAAGCTCCCACCTGTAGTTTCAGGGACTTGGGAATTATTGGTATATATTATCCTGTAAGAAATACGTATGTGAGAGAAATTTAGTCATAGTAGATTCAGATTTTATAGATAAAGAAGTGATTGAAGCACATGGTGTTCACGGGGAAGACAGTGTAGCTCAGAGAAGGCAAGTAGGGACTCCGTGGCATCTGACTACAGTGATGGACAGTGGCTGCAATGGGGTGTGTGTGGGGGAACTCGATAATTAGGGTGAATGTAATAACCACATTGTTTTTCTTGTGAAACCTTCATAAGAGTATATCAGTGATATCTTAATTAAAAAAAAGTAATTGAAAAAGTAAGGTACATGTAATAATACAGAGATAGTTTTTTGAAGATCCTACTTCGATTTTTTTTTAGACAGTTGGGAAGAAAATGCTCTTAATAGGAAGATGTAAATAATGCATTGTAAGTCTATTTTCTTTTGCAGCTAAGGTGAATTCTGTCATGGAAGTATAATAGTGATACTAGTTAGCTGGTCGAGGGTCTTTGCCTTTTTGTGGCCAGTGCTTCTAAAACACATGTGGCAAGGCAGACAATCGCCAGTTTTTATGGGGCACATGCGCTGGTGATGGGAGAAGGGGATTAATAAAAGCAATTCAGTTCTCTGTGGAAGCTCTGTGTTCCTGATACTTTGTTTCCTGCCTTAGGAAGGAGAAATAATAGTGTTTTGTGTAAAGGAAGGTGGGTAGCCAAATATTTTAACTATCCTATATGTGTTCCATTTCTGTATCAGAGTGGTCTGTCAGTAGTCCTCATAGCTACCTTGTGATTGTCAACTATTCTGTTCAGAAGTCACTTTGATAATTTTTTGCATTGCCCTTTCGTGATTGGGAGGCCTTTATTCTAAAAACAAAAGAGCAAAATCGAGTTCTTTTAACTGCCTTTAAGCATCAATTTTGATGTCGTCTTTCTGAGTACTACTCATGCTTATTTTTATTTCACTTTATTCAGTGTCATGAAGTGTTGTCATACTACAGTCTTAATGTTTCTCCATCTCTTATAGATGGTCGTCTTTTTTAGTTCAGATGTGAGGTTGGATTAGTAGTCTATTTGAGGCCTAGTGTTTCACTAGTTATTTTAGCAAATGGAGTTAGTAGGAATTGACCCACCATAAGGTCCTAGATACCATTCTCACAGTTTACCATCCAATTCTTTTATTTGTCTTTATCCCTTTCCTCTCATGACTCATGACCCCTAATCAAATTCAGAAAATCCTGTGTCAACAAGATACTTTGCAAAGTAAGTGTAAGTCTAGGTTGAGTGAATACTTTTTGTCATCTCCATTTGGTGTTCATTTCCACTTGAAATTTGATGTCTTTCTAGCTTATTTTACTTTGCTGGCTAAAATATTTTGTATCATGATTTTAGTAATTGTAGCTAAATACTGTCATAATATTTAAAAAAAATGTAATTCCTGTGGGTATATGGAACTAAAAATTAAGGAATTTATATTTTAACCCCAGTTGTACATGAACTCTTTTTATCCTGTGCAAGTCTGAATGAAATCCTACTTCTGAGGGAAGTTGGGAAGAATAAGTAGATATGTTTTCAGCCATTACAGTGATTACAAATGCTAAATGATGTATGTATGGGACTGGGCAAATGTTGCATGTAATTTGTTTTTCACACTGTTATAAAATTATATTAATATGATACTGTACCCTAAGGCTAGGTCTATGCTAGACCAACAATTCATTCCTGGGCCCCTGAAGATACTTGTTTGGCCCTGCTGTCTATTTAGCCAAGGTGAGTCCCTTATTAACAAGTATGAAATTGCTCACATCTTCCCAGCCTAAGTGAGTTTTTCATTATTAGGAGCTGAAAAAAGATAGTGACAAATTTTGTTGTCAATTGGATCATTGGGTGGTTTGTATTAACAATGTGCTATCCCTTAGAGTAAAATTGGCATAAAGATTGGGAAAGCATTGTTTTGTATCATTTCATTTGGTAAATTCATTCTTAGTCCAATACAGGTAGGGTTTTATATTATCTTTACATTAAGAAGAAGAAGTATTTGTTACCAGTGGATTACCAAAATGAATTGTTTTGGAGCTAGATGGGTTTTGAATAAATAACAAAACTGTTTGGTAATATTTGAGAACTGAAACTTTTTAGAAAATATAAAATACGAATCTTGCTTGTTTTTTGGGTCACATTTTGATTTTAAATATGATTACTAAGGATGAAATGTTTTAATTTTGATAGTTAGAAATAATGTATTAGCAGAACCAAATTATCCAGAATTTCACATTCTCCTGGCCTCTCATACTAGAAACCTGACTTTTTTCTTCTTTTTTTAACATTTTTATTTTGAAATAATTATAGAGAAACCCAAGTTTTTTTTGACTACATTTGTTCATATCCAGTCAGCCAGAAGTTACTCCGTATCTTTTTCTCTCTGTTCTTTCTTGCTTGGACAATCCCAGATATGTTGAAATTGATTTCTCCACCTCTGTTCTTCCCTACCTTCCTACTTACCTCCCAAGTTAATTCATCCAGTGAACACTGATTATCACTCCCACAGCCAGAGACCTCCGTTCCGCCTGCCCCACACCCCTTTACGTTCTTGAAGTCTCACAAAAAACACACGAATGCATTCTTATAAAAAATTCAAACTAATGAAGCATATGTAGTAAAAAGTGAAAGGTATAACAAGTTATACGTTTTGGTGTATATACTTCCAGACCATTTCCCTTTATTTATAACTTCCTTCCTTTTCCTACCCACTGAGGTGCAGATTCCTTGGCCTTCTGTTCAAGGCCTTCCACGTTATGTCTCTGGCCTGCCTTTCCAGTCATAACTCGTCCTTCCAGTCAAAACACATCGTGTGCCTAGTGTTTTACTAGTTGGCTGTTTACATTCTGTTTTCTAAGCAATTTCTTATTCTGTACTCTTTGCTTTTATGCACTTTTCCCACCTCTTGCTTATTTTCTCCTTCCACTTTGTCATTTTCCTTGTTGAAATCCTCATCTTTCAAGGCCTGTCATCACAGTACACAACTTTCTCTACCCTCTCACAGTTAAAAATGGGCTTTGGGTCTTTATTTGTGCTCCTGTACATGTATTTTAGTTATTTTTTATATTTCATTTGACTATTTTCAAGCTTCTTGAAAACAGACCTTGTTAAAAATTTCCTGCAGTGCATGGAATGGGCCCTTAAATACTTGCTTACTGAATGACTGAATGAGTGAATGATGGATGAATATAGTAAAATGGTTTATGAAGGAGTGATACATATTTTTGTTTTATCTTTTATCAGCACCCACAACACAAGATCAGACCCCAAGTTCTGCTGTTTCAGTTGCCACGCCTACAGTTAGTGTTTCAGCTCCTGCTCCTACAGCCACACCTGTGCAGACGGTCCCCCAGCCGCACCCCCAGACGTTACCTCCCGCTGTTCCTCATTCAGTGCCTCAGCCAGCAGCGGCCATACCTGCCTTTCCACCAGTAATGGTACCTCCATTTCGTGTTCCCCTTCCTGGCATGCCAATTCCACTTCCAGGTAAACCGATACATTGTAATAGTCTTTCCAGCTACGTTTTCATATTGTCAGTTAGTTTGTTCTCATGTGTCTGTTGCATTTGAAATTTGCCTTGAATCTCACCTGTTTGAAATGTTTTTGAAGGATTCATGGCTAACTGCAATATTTTACCTTCAGTTTTGGTAAATGTCCTTTTTTTGTTGTTGTTTACATGTCTCAAAATTAGAGCCACATTTAAAGCCACACTTATTTTGGGCAGTAGCCTCAGTAAATTAAAAATGATCATCTTTTTGTGTAAATATGTTTGAAATGAAGTATTTTTAAGGAATTGAGTCTTTGAAATTGAGAAATCACAAGTCATTAATAACAAGTTGAGTGATTTATTATTGTGCATTATTCTAAGAACTTTATGTGTAATAACTCAATGTAGTTTTCATAACCATTTTATGAAGTAGGTACACAGGTTAAATTGTCCATGGTCATACAGCTAATAAGTGATGGGTTGAGCCTGGGCATTCCCAATCCAAACACCATGCTCTTTATTATATTATACTGGGAAGAAAATGTGAATCACTTAACTATAAATAATTCATCTAAAACAGAAACCAGAAGTTTCCCTTGTGACAGTTGTGAAGTTAAGTATAACATGAACATTTAAATAATTACGGTGAATTCATGTGTTTTATTGTCTTAGGGGGAAATCATTACAGCTAGAGAAGGAATTAAAAAATTGTGGAGTAGAATTCTTCCCATAGGGATTAAACAGTTAGAGTGTTGGGCATCCTAATTTGAATGCCTTTGCTGCTGTTAAACACATTTAATCCTTAATATATGGCCTATTTTCTTACTATTATACATGAAAATATTGATACCTTAGAGAGATCAAGTTCCCAGGGCTACTTTGTAGCAAAGATGAATAGAACCTAGTCTTCTTGTCTTCCAATTTCATATTCCTCCCACTATTATTGCCTGTCTATTAGAAAAACTTTATTGTACTCGTTTTTGCATAGAAATAGGATTGTATTCCAGCCATTTCATAGATTTGCACCCGTTTTAATTATCATTGTTTTTCTAATTGTCTTTTTTGTGTGATCACTTTGAAAAGAACACTAAGACATTATACAAGGAAAAAACCCAAAATCTCAAGAATTAGTGTTTTTTTGGTAGGAAAACCTACATGTTGTCCATATAGTGTTAAGTAATTAAATGACCAATATGTGTAAGATAAACAGCTGGATACTTTCCTCTTTGGATATACTTCTGTAGAAAACTAAGGGATGAATGGAAACTAGTTCGACATTCATCATAACCTCTTCCAATCTTGGTCTGCTTTAGGGTCAAGGACAGTATTAAGGCAAGATCCTGGATTCTGAGTGATCTGAAGGACCTGGGGTTCTTGATTCTATAGAGAGAAGATCGAGAGGCAGCATGACAGCATCGAAGTGTCTGAAAGGCTGTCGCCCAGAAGGACTTCTTTTGCTGTAGAGGCTCCTGATGGGCGCCCATCAGTGAGAGGCGTAGAGTAGAGAGTGGGATTTGTCACAATAAAATCCCTTCAGTTACAGCTCTATTTTGAAGTCATGATCCTTCTCCCATCATTCAATTTTAGAATAAATGGTAGTGACCATTTTACCAAATGAGGTGGCACTTAGGAGATTGGTTAGTAAGACAGATCTAATAGATGGCAACCTCTAATGACATGTTGTAGGTTAGTTGGAAGAGAACTTGGGTAATCTGTAAAATTTTGTCCCGAGATACCAAAATTCTATGGAAAGGGAGCAGATGTTCTATATAAAGTAATATTAGTATTTATATAGTAAGGCATCTGATGCTCATGTTCATTCATTTCTAATTTTCCCTTTTAATTCAGTCCTCCAAGGTACTTTAGTGAAAAAGAAAAAAAGATGACTTTTCTCCTCTCCAAATCTTTGGTTTTATATACAGTGAGATTTATCTCTGTTTTACCTTCTTCATATCAGTTTGGCAGGTGAACAGAAGGGATTTGGATGTAATTTATCTTTTAGCCTTAAATTCTTCCCTGAAATAGCAAAGAGTGGCTCTAAAGGAGGATGATTAAGGAAGGAATAGTCAAACAAGATGAAGGAAAAGAGTGGAAGAATTAGGTAAAACATAGGAATAAAAGGTGGAATGGTGATAGTAAATTGGATTGGGATTATAGGATTTCTGCTTCTAAGACTATGAAATCTTATTGGAATTTTACAAATTTATTGTCAGTGACATCAAAGTTATCCGAAATGCTAAATGGAAGTCTTTGATTCCCTAATAAAACATAATTTGAGGATAGAGTTTTAGTCAAATTAAATAATCATACCCTTTAAAAAGAAGGTTAAAAATTTAGATATGTGTGGTTCCACTGTGAATCTTCATGATAAGCATGTAATCATCCTCAGAGAAAATCTTAGGTTTATCTTTTTAGCACGAGAAGAAACACATGACCTTTCAATATGGTCTGTATGTTAATAGTCAAATACAAGAACAAAAATTCTGTGTTGGCCCAGTCGATACGTAGCAGTAACAGGCCTACATATGCATAGAATTGATTTTCTTGAGTTTAAGTTGTGCAGTGAACATTACTTGGTATGCTTTTGAAGAACAGTGTTTGAGAATTAAGTTCATACATTTTAAGAAATGAATTCCTAGTGCTGACTGAATAGGTCTAGTGGCCCTGCAGATGGCAGCATTTGTACTGATTTAAACCTAATACATGGCTGTAACTTCCCTCACCAAATTTTTCCATTGCTTTCCTTAAGCTTTAAGGAAAATAAAACTATATAATGTTATTCAGCATGCTTTTATGATCCAGTGCTTTTGTTTTATTTCCAGAGTTCATAGAAAACTTAGCTTTCATAATCTCTATTTAAAATAAGCAGTGAAGAAATTAAAGGCACTTTTCAAAAATTTGTAGTATTTTTGTGTGTGTGTGTGTGAACATAGGTACATTATTTACAAACCCAGGGGCTTAATTTTAATTTATGTCTCTGAATTAGGAGAAATTTCTTTTCTATACTTTAGTGGAGGAAATAGTTTATAATTTTTATTTTTTATTGGTATCAACCTAGGTTTAGTTTTTCAGCCATAACAAATAGAAAATAAAATTTGATTCCCCAACCCTTTTCCTTTAAAAATAAATTTAAATTCACTCTTAATTTTGAATTTCCTCAATTAATCACTCTTAGTTTTCCAGCTTTGCCATTCATCCCCTTTTTATCACCATTATAATGTATCTTGATGAGTCTTCATTCTTCTGAGAACTGTGTGTAAGTTCCATTCTTTAGTACAAGTGCTACCCCTTTAGCTGGCCTCAGTGACAGCGGTCTCTCAGCCAGCCAGCCCAGTTAGCCACTGATGATACTAAGGTAGCCGTCTTGTTCTTGACGTGTTAGCCCGCCTGCACAGTGTTCCAAGCCCATGACATTTCAGAGAGCAGTCACTTCGCATGGAGATTTTATTATCAGTGGAACCCTGCCCTCCTCTTCATCTTTGCCCTTCTTTTCTTTAAAGTATTATTTGTAGTGGGCTATTTGGATCCGTCTCATACCTTATTTTCTTCCTTTCCCTCCCATCCTTTTTGTCCTGTTTTATTCTTTCTCTGCTTCTGCGTGGTTATGCCCCGTGCCTCAGCTTCTGCGTGCAGTTCCCACCCAGCCGCAGCACAGAGGAGGCGTCCTGTCAGTGTCGTGCTGCGTCCGCCTCTCACTGGCGGCCAAGCAACAGCAGCATGGGTTTGATGTCCTGTGGGAAAACATCCCACATGAGAACTGGTTGCGTATATGCACTGAAGGGGCTTCCTTTGTTGAATTTTAACTCCTGAGACTCCTTTAAAAAATACCAGCTGGTTTGATAAAAAGGTAATTAATTGATGCTATAATTTAAAATTAGTTACCAATGGATTTGGCACCACTTCCCACAAAATGTCGAACAAAAAGAAATTTTCCTCCATTCTTGGTCTTTCTCATTGGAAATAACATTCTAAATTGTAGTGGTAAATTATTTCCCTGAATCCCAGTGGTAGCCGACATACAATGGCAGCTTTCCAACGTATGCTTGCTTATCCATTTTACAGGTGTAGCAATGATGCAAATAGTCAGCTGCCCGTATGTAAAGACAGTCGCTACCACCAAAACCGGTAATTTTTAAAACCATCTTAGTTTGTTTTGTCTGTAAGTTGGCATGGTAGTGAATGTTGTTGTTTATCCTTTTATTTATTTATTTTTGCCCAAGTGAGTGGATTTTATATTTTTCTTTTTAATGAGCAGTATAAATGCAGTTGTCATTTTGGCCAACACTTAATTTTCCCAGCTGCCTGTAGTATTAGCTTCTTTGGTTCACAAAAGCAATTAAGGTCAGATCACTTTATATCTTAATTTTTGTAATAAGTGTAAACAACTTCATTCTCATATTCATAACATTTAATTTTGTTTTTTGATGTATGTTTTTAAGTTAAATATAAAAAAATCATTTCCATGTGTAAAGTGATGTGATTATGCTTGCATGCTAGTGAGTATATGTGTGTGAATATTTGTGTGTATAGTATAAATTTACGTTTTAAAGTTATTGAAGATAACTACCCAGAACTGAAATTCTAGTATAGCATTTGAGGTTTTTTGTGTTTTGTTTTTTTGTTTTTCCAGTTTGATTCACATATCCTCAGTTATTTTGTTTATTTAATAGCTTGTCTAGCTATCTCATTGAAAATACAAATCTTGGCTTATCTTTTAAAAAAAGAGAGAAGAAAGTTCGCTTTCTTTTAGGGAAGAACTAAACAGAGTTTACAGGGATATCTGATTTAATCACAGTATGTTAAAGTAGATTGATAATAAACTCAGTCATTTACTTTGAAGCTGAGAATTTTTTTCATTCCATTTTAGGTACCTTAGAACTCAAAATAATTTTGCCTCAAACTATATAGTAACTATATTGCCTTGATTTCATTAGAATTTGAGAAAATCTTTATAAAATATATTTCTATTAATACGAGAAATGTACCACGACTTTTATAAGTTGTTACATTGAGACTTCTTTATAGATATGACCCAAAATTTCTGATTGTTCTTAAGGTACTTCTTGGGTTGAATTCCAAATCTAATTGAATTTAGGTACTAGGACTAAACCAGGGAAATAGATTTAAGTAATTAAATCACATTTTATATGATTTTTTTTTGTTCCAACTGACTCATTCATTTATTACTATTTAATAGCTTTAGCTCATGTTTTTAAGATTTATTTTGTATTTCAGTTTGATACTTGGATCTAACTTTTTATTATTCTTTTTCCAGGTGTATTGCCAGGAATGGCCCCTCCTATCGTACCCATGATACATCCCCAGGTCGCTATTGCAGCTTCACCTGCTACCTTAGCTGGAGCAACAGCAGTTTCTGAGTGGACTGAATATAAAACAGCAGATGGGAAGACATATTATTATAACAATAGAACATTAGAATCAACCTGGGAAAAACCCCAAGAACTAAAGGAGAAAGGTACAGTTTAATGCTTGGATACTTGGTAGGATGTAGTAAAAACTATGATACTATAAATAGAATGTCATTTGAAACTCTGAGTAAATTCCTTTTTAACACATTTGAGGGGTTTTGTGATTATGTAGTTGGATTATTTATTTCTACCGAATATAAAATTCTAGTATAGCATTTGAGGTTTTTTGTGTTTTTTTTGATAAGTATATAGTTTAAAAGGCCAGTTCTTCTACGTACGTATTTGTCCATTCTTCGTCTGGAAAAATTAAGTCACACATGTATACAAATACATATTTTTTCTGTTGTCAGGAATTGCATAATTCTGTTTAATTATTGTTATCCTTATTAAGATTGATCGTACTGATCAGGAAAGAAGGTGTGTATTATGTGTTCTAAAGAAAAAAATTTAGGCCCTTGGAGTCTTGGATGAAGACTCATAATTTTCTATAAGTCCCTGTTTCTGTTCCTAAGGGTCTGAGCATCTTATATCTCTGTCAGCAAAATGAATGATTGCTATCAGTGATTCATGAATGACCGGAAAGACTTCAGTGTCCTTCTGAAGTCAGTAGTTCTTCTCCAGTTCCCTCGTTGGTATAGCAAGGCGTTTGGAGTTGAGCCTTACCTTAGAATCATACTAATGATAATCCAAGGAAGAACATGTTACTTTTGTGGTTAATAGTTCTAGTTATGGAATATCTTAACTACTTAGTCTCTCAAAATTCTTGGGAAATTCTATTAAAACCATTAAGTGACATTATCTTTTTGATAGAAAAATTAGAGGAGAAGATTAAAGAGCCAATTAAAGAACCTTCTGAAGAACCCTTACCAATGGAGACTGAGGAGGAGGACCCCAAAGAGGAGCCGCTGAAGGAGATGAAGGAGGTAAAGGGCTGCGGCCCGTTCACCTGGGAGCCGGCATTGATTGTGCGTATAGTTGATTTGTAACTGGAAACCCATATGACAAGAGTTTTAGGTAATTGTTATGAACCAGAAATTTTAGAGTTCTTTGAGGTTTTTCATTTGGAAGTTTCATTTTATTATTTCTTACACTAAACCGAGGGCTCTAGAAAGAAAGGGCATTGGACTGGGACTTGGACCTGATCCATAGCCTCCTGACTTACAGACTGGTACATGTTAAAGACTATAAGTACAATTTCACATTTGGGGATGTTTGTTATATTTTATTTGTCCTCTCCTGGCATGGAAGGATCTCTATACAAGAATAAAAGCTTCTTTGGAAGCTTCCTTTATTCATTGATAGTCATTATATTAGTAAGGGAGTTAGCAGAAAAAAGAAATGATAAATGAAGAGGTCTCCTCTGATTTTCTGTACTGTGTTCTTCATTTCTGTTTCTAAGCAGAGGGTTAGTAAGTCTGTAAGATAAGTTTCTGCTGTTGTGGAATTTGGCTCTGTCTATGCTGCAAGGGTTTAGAACTTTTCTGGAAATTTCTACTCAGTCTCCCTGCCCTGTGCCAGCAACAGATCTTAACGTTGATTGCACTTCAAAGTACTTGCCGCAATACTTGTATTTGTAGAATATTCAGTATAGCTTTGTGATAACTAATAAAATGTGAGTGACACCTTTTCCCATAGGAGCCCAAAGAAGAGGAGATGACTGAAGAAGAAAAGGCCGCCCAGAAGGCGAAGCCAGTAGCCACCACGCCGATTCCGGGTACTCCGTGGTATGTAGCTGGTTTCATAAGTCGTTCGATTGATTGTAATACTTGATTATAACATGATATATCCTGTAGAAAGAGAAAGTACTTTAAAAAAGTTTATGTCAAATACATGTTTTTTTTTTCTTTTAATTTTACTTTGGTATCATTAGTCTACAATTACATGAAGGACATTATGTTTACTAGGCTCCCCCCTTCACCAAGTCCCCCCCACATCCCTGTTCACAGTGACTGTCCATCAACATAGTAAGATGCTGTAAAATCACTACTTGTCTTCTCTGTGTTGCACAGCCCTCCCCGTGCCCCCCGCCCCCGTACTATACATGCTAATCGTTATGCCCCCTTTCTTTTCCTCCCACCCTTATCTCTCCCTTCCCACCCGTCCTCCCCAGTCCTTTTCCCTTTGGTAACTATTAGTCCATTCTTGGGTTCTGTGCTTCTGCTGCTGTTTTGTTCCTTCAGTTTTATTTTGTTCTTATACTCCACATATGAGTGAAATCATTTGGTGCTTGTCTTTCTCCGCCTGGCTTATTTCACTGAGCATAATACCCTCCAGCTCCATCCATGTTGTTG